TGCGACTCTGGCGAGCCGCTGCTTTGCACAGCGCCGCTATAAAGGGGGCTCCCGCAGTCGGCGCAGTTACTCTGGTGCTTTGTTAGTGCTGGGAGCTGTAGAGTGAGAGTTGCGTATTGCTGCAATGCCTGAGCCGGCCAAGTCCGCCCCCGCGCCCAAGAAGGGCTCCAAGAAGGCGGTGACCAAGACGCAGAAGAAGGGCGATAAGAAAAGGCGTAAGAGCCGCAAGGAGCGCTACTCGATCTCCGTGTACAAGGTGCTGAAGCAGGTGCACCCCGACACGGGCATCTCGTCCAAGGCCATGGGCATCATGAACTCGTTCGTCAACGACATCTTCGAGCGCATCGCCGGCGAGGCCTCTCGGCTGGCGCACTACAACAAGCGCTCCACCATCACCTCGCGGGAGATCCAGACGGCCGTGCGGCTCCTGCTGCCCGGCGCGCTGGCCAAGCACGCTGTCTCCGAGGGAACCAAGGCTGTCACCAAATACACCAGCTCCAAATAAGCTGTGTCTGTGCCCTGTGCCGGACCTGCTCGACCCAAAGGCTCTTTTAAGAGCCACCCACCTTTTCATTAAAAGAGCTGATGCTGTGCTTGTTTGTTCTTAGTTGTCCGAGTTTCTCCTCGGGAAAAGTGCAGTAATTGTCTGAAAGCACCCTCGCTTATAAGGCATTTGGGACGTACTTGCGGTGAACAATGTGTTCTACATCTGCTTCAGTGGAGCAGAGAAATCCCTCGCGATTGGCTAAAACGACACCGGGAGCTCACTTCACTTTCGCGTACGGATTTGGGGCGGGGAGTTAAACAATAAAACAACGATGTAAGTGTCCTGTTTGAATGCCTGAAATAAGCGTGTTCTGGATAGGGGATGCTTGCTCTTCGTTCCTGTGGGTGACTAACAGAAAGCATAGGCAGTTCAAGATGATCGTGTGGGGTTCGTTTGTTTGTTACTGTTTTAAGCAAAAAGATCGAGGCTGGAGCCTCCTCCCCGCCCTCCAACCGTTAGCGTTCTCGAGGGTCACCAGGGGAAACAAAGCGGAGAGCCTCACGGCGATCCTGCTCTGGAACTGCGCAGCCCTCCCTGTGGCCCCGAGCACAGTCTACTCCCCAGTGCTCTTCCCCAGCTCTTGCCCCGCTTCTCCCTCCAACACCCTGTTCCAGCCGCGCCCCGTAAATCCCGCAGCCGCGTAGCTCACGGGAGCGGGCGGGAGGGCCGGCAGCAGCGCAGCTGCCGGGCTTGGTCCGACCTGAGTGAGGACTGCGCGGCGCTCCCCAGCAGGCGGAGCCGGCGCGGCGCAGCCCCCCGAGAGGGCGGTGATTGGTCGCGGTGGCGCTGGCGGTTCGGAGCCCGTGTTCGCTTCACCAAGGCGCGCTCCTCTGAAAGAGAGCTGGGTCTTAAACCGGCGCGGGGGAGCAGGCCCGAAATGTTCGTCTTACGGGAAGCGCCGGCTGCCACCTGCCCCTTCAACGTTCCCGCTGCGGCCCTGAACCGAACGCGGTTACTGTGTGG